GTTTTTTCTGCTTCAATAGATACACTGCTTACACAAACCCCAAATATTCACGAGCATTTACTCTCTGAATAAAGAAATATGATTGCATGATTACACACAAATTAAAAAGAACATGAATATGAATAAAACTTTAGAATTATGACAAATTCAATATTAATGTCAGCTGCTCCCTTTTAAATGTTTTCTTCTGGGGTAATGTGAGGGCTGAGAGGTTAGGGTCCATAGCAGGTGGGTCCAGATGCCCTGAGCAGCCCCTTGTTTCATTCCCACAGAAGAGCATTTGCTTTTTTCTTGTGAACTCAAATGAAAGCATCGCATTTTCCTAGCTTCTCTCTTCTTGCTCAGCCACCCAGTCAGGCTTGAGCTGGGGCTTCTCCTGATTGGTCAAATGTTTATAGCTTGAGAATAAATACTTTAACATGTTGAGCATGAATACACGGTACATGTAAATAAAATAATTGTTCTTATTCATTGTATTTTAGTCTTTTGCCATGTGTTCATTGTACATATCGCAATGACAATGAAAATATTATTTATCAGTTAGCACTAGTAAGGATCAATTGTTAGTTCCTGTTGACTATATTTTTCATAATTTGCTTTTTTTCCACTAACAGAATATATTTAATTATATATTTTTTACAAGCGAGAACTGGAACATGAGAAAGCTAGCATTTCTGCTTCCTAAAAGTGGCTTTAATTAACCGACTGATTCTTTGTAGCTCTAAATGCAGTGATGGTTTGTAGTGATGCTAAAAGCTAAATCTAGGGATCAGAGTAGGTGCTAAGGGTTCACAATAACATGTTCTCTATTTACAGCCAGTGCAAATCCTCACACAAGCAGACAAACGCACAAGCAGTATCTATTTCCTGACACACACCTTGTCTAGCCGTGTACTCGTTGTCCTCGATTAGCCGCGCCAGGCCAAAGTCGGCAATCTTACACACCAGGTTATCAGCCACCAGAATGTTGGCAGCTCTCAGGTCCCTGTGGATGTAGTTCATCCTCTCGATGAAGGCCATGCCGTCTGCAATCTGGGATGGGATTGGACAAGGCAGACAGAAAGGGAGGCAGCGTAAACACACAGAGAACAGCTTTAGGATGAAACCAAATTAACAGTCTCAGACAGCAAATGTGAAAATAATTATTGAGGATAACGGTTATCAAGAATAATTACATTTAATTGACATTTAGGGAAAATTACATGTCATTGATATTAGATTTGACCCACATTTTTACAGCAGACTGAAATACACAAAGTGGAGTAAAATAAAAGACAATCTGCAGCTGTGTCAATGGGAACAAGAGGATAAGTCTTAAACACAATTATCCGACATCTTCTCACACTGCCTGTCAACTCCCTCTGAGCCTTCTCTGGGTTTCAGCCTGTGTCAGACTAATTCTCAAACAGTTTTCCACTCCGCTGAGTGGAGAGAAGAGGGAGCCCATGAGCGTGGAGAGGCGAATTAAGAGCAGATCACAGTAGGTGACTGAACCAGCGAGTTTAAGTGGCCTCTGGTGAGCAGTGTTTAAGTGCTACAGGCAGTTAAGTGGTGGAGAACGAGGGGAGGCACACACAGCGGCGAGGGGGAAGAGAGGAGAGGGGAGGGGAGATATTAAATAAATATGCCAGCCAGATGGAGAACAAACTGAAACCCTCATTCACTAGGCCTGAATATTTGAGTCATACACACCTACACAGACACGGCTGGAAACTTGCCCACATGGAGCTTTCTTTGTTGCATTGCTGATGCACTATAATCCTTCCTTAAAACAGCAGCTGGGCAGGAAAGAGACAGAGGAAGGTGCTGCGCCTGTGTTGGCATTTAGGCGTTTTGATCCTACCTGTGAGGCCATGTCCACCAGCTGGGGCAGCTTCAGGTATTTTCCATCTCCCTCCTTAAGAAAGTCCAGTAGACTACCTGTCAGAGTTCACAAGACTACTGTCAAACACAATCAATACGTCTGTCTGTGCAGTATTTAAGCACAACACAAAAATAACTGCAGCTTCAGTTGGCACAATAGTTCAGCATCACAAAAGCTAAAATTACCAAACTCACTCTCTCTGGAGCAACATGTAGCTGTAGCCTGGTTTCTGTATAATGGTTGAGTGAATTTGAAACAAACTTTGAAAATGTATAAAACATACTTCAATGAGCTCAGAAGACAATGATTGAGGAATCGAAGAGGAACACTGAAACAGACGACTTACTGGCAAAAAGAAACGCAGATGGAAAGATTTGGCTCCAGAAGAAAACGATATTGACTAATAACAGGTACTCTGTGTGTCTTGTACTTGTTGCCACCACACAAGGCAATGAGACTAATTTATTTCATTAAAATCAACACCACACAGCTCATTGTGATGAGTGCAAAATCAGATCTGAATGCCATCTAAAGGAAAAAAAACTGTTTTGGATGCAGAAAATACCAAAGCTTTGTCCACAGACTGCATCTTGCACTTCGTCAGTTTTACCAATCTTAAGTTCATGAAGCTGTTTCTTCATATTGCACTCATATACTGCAGAATAACTAAATACTGCAATGCCAGTTTTTGCAGCCCTGCCGAGGATAGAGTGCTGTAAGTATCTGCCAGCATATAGCCTGGGACTTGTGGTCTGAGTGCCTTTATTTAATGTGCATAAGCAGCATTGCTAAATTGCAGGTTAATGTATATGTAGCAGTGGTGAATAAAGCTGTGTACTAGTTATTAACTTGAGCCCAGGAGATTTTTCTGGCGTATACATGCAGCTTTGAAAACATTCCATTACTACCCTAATTACATACATATTATTTGCAAAACCTCATTTAGAATGACATCAGTGACTATTGAGGTCACACTTGGCTGATGTATAATCACTGGGAAAGCTCAGAAAGGAGCTGGGAGGCAAGGAGTCCCACTTTAGGAGCTCTGATAACATTTGCATTCAGTATTCTGTTGTTACATCAAAGATTCCCCACAGACGTGTAAAGTAAAAATACTTTAAAAAGACTGCTGGGAATAATAACTTGCGTTGGATGCTTTTCCACAACAAAGTGCAGTCAAAACGCAATTTTTTTTCTTTTTCCTCCTGAAAAATCCTTTGCAGATATTTATTTCTTCAAAGGTTTACACAAGATGTCTCCTACTTCACTGAAAAGTCAGTTCTCAGTGTAAACTAACTGGAAGTTTCAAGTTAACCAAAGCTACAAAGATCAGTTGAAAATGCATCGACAGCGATATCTTAAATTGGCGTGTCTTTTAGAGAACGGTAGCGACAGCAGATCTCTGTGCTCACATATACTGTAATACAGTATGCTGCATTATGCCAAGACATAGTTTGTCAAAATAAAATCAATTTAAATTACATGATCATGTTGCTTTTTTTGGAAAAACATCAACTGTTTCAGATTAACCCACTAATCGGCCAAACAGTCTGCAAATAATCGATAGAAAAATAGCTTCAAGTGGCAGAACTAAAGTTATTGCTTCACGATGTTGCCTACTGGAGTAAGATAAGAAAAAACAATGTCATGTTCTTCACTCTATCAAAGTCTTCAAAGTACGATTATCACTGACTTTCAAAAAAATCTTAATTTCATAAAAGTGCACTCATTCATATAAACTGTCTGTACTGAATACTGCACATCGATGCTCAGACACATAATAGTGTGACAATAATGTGAGTGGAGCGATGCTTTAAGATATTAAAGTCATTTATTTTAGTGACAGCTGGCCTACTTTTGGTGAGTTATCCACACCCAAGTGTGTACAGCATATGCAACTTTACTGTTTAATAAAAGGAATGTGGTCCAGTCTGCAGCGCTCTGCTGTAATACACACTTAGAGACTCCACTGTGTCGCCCTTGAAATGCAATTCAGTAATTGCTTTACAAACGTATTAGATGTAATATTTTTCAATGGAGAGAATGAGGGTGTTACGGTAGACATGTCTGTAAAAACATATTTACGGCCTGCATGTGTACTGAATGAATGCCACGACTGCACATGTAGAACTTTTTGTTACAGTTAACTGACATTAACGACATCATTCAAGAGCTAATTTTCTAAAAGTGGAACTTTAATGGATTTTCTTTTTTTGTTTTGTTTTATTTGAGAGAACATTTATTTATATTGTCCATTTTCCTTCCTCATTAGTAGGTTGCAGCCAGTTGCAGCAACATTGACAGAATTTTTAGGGAAAATTCAGTAAATTGTTGTTCACTGTTCCGCATTTCTTGTCTTCATCATACTGAATGGTTACCTCAAATCTGAGGTACATACCAAACCATTAACTTTGCAACCCTGGCAGCAAGTGTGTGTTTGTTGTCAATTATCTCTACATCACTTCTGATTTGGGAACTGAAACTGTCCTTACCTTTGCCCATGAACTCGGTAACAATGTAGATGGGTTCCTCGGACACCACAGCATAGAGAGGCACCAGCTTGTCGTGTCTTAGTTTCTTCATGATCTGAGCCTCCTGCAGGAAAGCCTCTGGAGACATGGTGCCCGGCTTTAGGGTCTTGATTGCCACCTTAGTAGTACCATTCCACGTGCCTAAATAAAACACAATGAAAACAAAATGATCAATCAAACCTGAAATGTAGCATGTCTGCAGTTGAAAGGCAACTGATAATTAAAGGATTTTTTATTAAAGAATTAAGTAATCTGAGACATTTCTGATTTATTTAGTCACACGTACTACAGCACTAAATGGCACATTTAAGACTTTTTGCCCCCTTTTAAGTGATTGAAAAGTCAATCCTAAAATCAGCCATCATGCTGCTGATCTCTGGCAGTGTTCCCATGTCTAAAGAGCAGCTCAAGAGAGAAAGAACGTGACAGCTTAAATAATCAGCCACTTCCTGGTTGAGAGCCACTTACTCACGCCCTGCTTACATACAATGAGCTGAGGCAGGAGATCCACTGCTTCCGTCATAAGGCTGACCTTCATGAATGAATCATCCTGAACAAACTCTGAACACGCATAAGCTGAAGGACAAAGTAGGACGATGATAATATCTAAGAATGATAAAAATAATAATAGCACGAAGTGGTGGGAACATAGCATAAGAAATGAGGGCAATAGCACACGCATAATAAAACATAGGCAGAGAAGACTGTCAGTTCGAAGGTGAAGCTTAGGAAAAAAATAAAAAATCAAGAACAAACAGTGCAGGGAGAGACAGAGAGGGATTCCTGGGATTGCACAGCGGAGGCTTGCAGGTCGAGGCTTGCTGCAGGCCAGGCTTAATGAAAGGCTGAGTGATGAAAGAAGAGAGTCGTGTTCGCTGAAAGGCCCCCGTCTCACATGCAGGCCAGAACCGAAGCGTAGGAAGTGACCTGTGATTAGTGAGCTGTGTGTGTGGATGGAACCAACAGCAATCAGTAATCAGCATCTACATCAGTATGTGTGCCAGTGGCAGCAAGGCAGCCGCTTTTCTTAGGCCACTCAACTTTATTACCAATATAAACCATTCCATAAGCAGCTTATATACATTCACTGCTTCTTACTGAATGCTTTACATTAAATTTCCATTAGTTATAAATAATGTACAGTGGATTTTTTTTCCTGTATGTAAGCCCTAAAGGCCATGTTAGTGTATGTACACAAAGTTGTTTATAGTCTTTACTTATTCATGAGAAGTGTTAGTGTTAAAGATCAGCACTACAGAGTGGATTTATGTACGTATGCTGGTGACATACGAAGTGCTGCATGTATGTGAAATGGTTGTTGGCGCCTATGGACTAATTTCTGTACAAGCAATAAATTGATATTTTGGAACAAACTAGCTCTTCTATTTGTGTGAGTAATATGCAGACAGAGAAGCTCCCTGCCTCTGCCTACACCCATCCCCCACGCTACACAATGTCACACTGTAACACTGGGAGTATTTTAACAATACACGCTGGAACCGCAAACAGATTCTGAAGAAGGATATTGATATAAAAAGCTCCGTCCTGCCAGTTGACAGGAAAGGTTCCTTAGGTTTGTTACATATAAAACCCCAAAAGTCTGAATCTGTGTTTCAGTAGTCCATTGTAGATTCAAGGTGGAAATGCTAAGCCATGGTGTGGGCTGCTTATTTGGCTTATGATGTATCTTCCAGCATATGAAAAAAAAAACATATCGACATGTTATCAAGGACAACTCAACCTATTTTTATTGGAAGGCTGTCTTCCACCCATCAATACCTCTAAATCTAATAGATAATTTGTACACATAAAGAAATGTAAAAACCACAAGTGGTTGTACTACTGGGGAGATGACGCTCTGGGCAAGAGAAAGTAGCTCCATGTAATTCCCAGTAAAACCACAACATTGCATTTTCACAGTCAGGTAGCTATTTCTCCCTGCTTCCAGACATAATGCTAAGAGCAGCTCACTGTTTACCATCTATAGCTCCATATACAACAGCCACGATGGGAGTGTTTTCCATCTTATCAGCTAACTCTCAGCAGGAATAGTGCACACAGTGCCACCTTGTTTCGAGCACCACTGATTTCTATAGGACATGTGAATGGATTTTGCAGTGACGCTTTCTAGTCTGACCATGCACTACTTAAAACATCATTTAAAAAAAAGCGTTTGTAAGGAGCGGGCTCTGTGGTTCAAAGATGCATTCAAAAACGACACATATGTCGTGTGTGTCAGTGCACCACTAGTAGTCTCTTACCCATCCAAACTTCTCCAAAGCAGCCCTGCCCCAGTTTGACCTCCAGTCGGAGGGACTCTCGAGGGATTTCCCAGGCGTCCTTAGCTAGTCCCTGAGTCTGCGGCTTCACTGTGGGACACACAGTCGTCAGCCGGTAGCACAGACCATCCGCATGTTCTGGACGCATATGGTGAAACACAGAGGGAGAAAAAAACAGAAAAACAATGAGCTTTGAGATGGAACTTGGTAGAAGTCAGCCTACTGATTCACACCGCCAGCCTGGTAAACATGTTCACCCAGCAGAGGTAGAAATCAACTCAGAACATTTAATCAAGTATTGTACTTGAGTACAACTTTGAGGTACTTCTGCTTTACTTGAGTATTTCCATTTTATGTTACTTTATACTTCCACTCCACAAAATTTTGTATCATGGACAACAGAACAAGCTTTCACTACAGCACATTATAATGACCAAACCAAAGGGTTTCAACCTTTTTTTTAACTCTTATAAAAAGCAGTGCGTAGTCAGGCTCACTATTCATCAGTCTGAGTTGGCACCATGTCCACCAAATAGTGATTTACGCCTCTAAACTTCTCACTTAGTTTCATTTCAGTAAATGTTGAAATGATTTGATGTCACCAAAAATGTAAGATTAGAGGAAAAGTCCAAAAACTGACAACAGATTTGTGTCAGAAATTTCTTTCTCTTCCATTTGTGATCTCATGACATGTCAGCTGGGTTAGGCTCCAGCGCCTAACGACAAAGGATAAAGCAGTGTATAGATAATGGATGGATATATATTACTACATCAGTGAGTGGGACAGTACCAGTACTTTTACTTTAACCACACTTTGTTGCCACTCTAAAAATATAATTTATTTACATAGCATTTTTCACGTAGGACTTTTATTTGTGCACAGAGCTGTTGACCCATGATTTTCAGAGTCATATCTTATAAAACAGCAATGTATTTTTCATTGTGTCCTCCACAAATTAGACACGAGGATAAAGATGTTGTTGTAAAACAGCCTTTTCAGACACAGCAGCTTCACATGTATTACTGGCTTCTTCCTACAGATTAAACCAGATTTCCTACCAGTCACCATTTATAAAAAGCACAGCAGTGAGTGAAATAACATGAGTTATGTGGATGTCTGGGTCAACAACACGAGCACAGAAATCAAATGTTGGAGTCACGTAACGAACAGCCTCTTGTTTATGGATTCCGCTTGTAGGAGTTACACGGAATTCTTTTCAGAGACTTCAATGAACAGATTTTCCTGCTCACACACTTGCAGACACTTTCTTGTGACAGACCAAAGAGGATTTTTAGAAACAGCTGCCTGCTTATCAATATTGCGCAGACTGTAGCAGGCTTAAAACATTTTTTTTTTGTATTCATGCCTGTTTTTAGACTCACATGGTTTTGCTTTTTCAGGACTTTGTCATGATTACTGAGCTGTGACCATGTCAGGAACAGTCCTACAATCACTACAGGGGAAAAGCCACTCTAATACATATTCGGTGGATATCCCAGCAACACATCTGCAGCTGAATAATACATTTCCCACTGTGAGCATATCACATATGAAACAGGAGTAGTGAGCGGGGACTACTTGAAATGCAAAACCCCTTCTAAAATAACACAAACCTCCCCTACTGGCCCAGTTACTATTACAACACATTTGTCCAAAATTTCACCACCACTGTTCCAACATGAGCCTGAAGAAAGACATAACTGGATCTGAGCTGGAAGAGCCATCGAGTTGTAAACAACAATTTGTCTAAATGCCACCTCCATGAGAAGAAGATGTGTGGATGGGCTGCATACCTGTGTAATGTTTCACCAGCTTCTGTAGCGTCTCAAATTGGGCTCGTGTGGTGATGTAATAACCACCGTTGTCCAGCTTGCGGATCTTGTAGTGTTTGACGTTGTCACCTTTCACCTCATCCCAGTCCCGAATAGACAGAGAGTAGGCACCTTTAAAATCCAACAGAAAATAAGTTAGATGTGCTTTAAAGTATAACAAACTGTTTAAAGTGCTGTTTAACATGACAACAGACAAACGAAGACTTGTTGTGAGTCTCCAGCCACACTAACGGTAGGCTACTGTTTCACAGCAGTGCCTTGAGCTATGTGATTGTTAACTGCTTAGTCTGATGGGAAAGTCATTAGTTCTGCAAGTATGTCATTAACTATAGAAGTGGATAATAAAAATGATGGCCTGTTGACACCAAATGTCATATTAACTGTTTAACTGAACAGGTTTGCTAGATTGAGCCAAATGTCATGGCAAGACGTATTCACTGTTGTGATTTCCTGATCCGATGGCAGAGATTAGGCTGGGGGTTGATCAAGGCATCATTTAAGTGACTGCTATTGGCACAAATGTAAGCCCGATCCTTGGTTTATGTCTGCTGTCACACAGGTGTCTTTACAGTCGATGACAATTTGTAGCAGAGTGGGAAGGATGCAAATTTTGAATTGTTTTCCCAAATCAATTTTCGGCGGCATTATCTCGCACAAATGGAGCACAGTGTACATTTGTCCTGTTCTTATACTGCTAATTTAGTCTATGGACACATGATCTGGGCCACAAAGGCAGCTCTGCCACTAGGATACAGAAATGCTGTCCCAATGACCCCAGTTTGTCTTAAACACATGAGGTCTGGCTGGAGGTCATTAAGTGTCACAGAAGTCTTTTTCATAATGGCCTGTTGCGAGCCAGACCCCCTCAGTGCTCTCTGCTTGCAGCCAGGTACCACAGCTAATAAACAACACATTTTCTGAGAAGCATATAGAAAACACAGATTATCGTCGGCTTTTACAACTTGTGGAGCCACGATGCACTCTCTCCACACTGCATTTCAGACATTGTGCTCAAAACCACGTCTCAACCCCATGATGGCACTGGAAGAAAAGCCAGGAGCTCACTAAAATCAGTAGGATTCACCACTGCCTGACCAAAATGTAATGACAAACCATTCAATAATTGAGATATTGGAAGACGAACCAGTTAACACAAATTGCCATTCACATTGTCATGGCTGGAAGGTTTCAAATCAAACCAAGCTTTTTTTTTTTTTTACTACGAAATAGTGCACCAAAAAAAAAAAGTTTATTCAGTGTAAATACACATACAGCAACTTTGATCCAACTGAAACAGGTCAGCATTCCTCACAAGTATGAAAACATCAAAAACATTTTTTCTGACAATTTAAAAAAATAAATAAATAAAAATGTATTTAAGAAATCGCCTCACCTTTGGTCGTCTCACTCTCTCGTGCCAAGAAAGTGCCACGTTGGTTTCCTGGGAGCAACAAGAGACGCTCAGCATCTTTGCGGCCCATTTTACCAAAGTACCATCTGCCGAAAGAGAGAAAATCCAATTGTCAGTCACTGTAGAAGCTCTCAATGTGATATACTGCAGGGGAAGTAGGACTTTCTTATCATCTGGTGATGTGATATTTAGATGTTGGACATCTGGGAATTCTGCATATCCCTTTATAATACTGGGAAGTTAAACATCTGGAAATGTAGGTATGTTTGATGTTAGCTGACATTTAACATCAGGCATTTCTACATGGCTCTTATGTGGTTATGTTTAAAGTCAGACAGAGGCAACTAAATATGGTTACATCTAATTTAAGTCAAAATAATAAATAGCCTATTCCACTTATCTTATTATTAACTTTGCTCCAGGCAGTATGTCTTTGGCTTGTTCCATTAGATATGAAAGTTCCACAAAAAATATTCGTCACTATGAATAAGTAAAGCATTAGCTCCCAGCTGTAAACAAACTTAACTCCTATACTTACTAAAAAAGCACACTGTCTGTTTCAAGAAATGCCAACAAGTTCAGACACGATAAAAACTAGATCAATTGTCTCCCCTCGCGGGCTTATTTTTTTGCAGACTAATTTGACAGGGAACCAAAAACCCTGCAAACTGTCAATAACAGTACGCACCTTTTTAGACTAAAGGCAGAGTTAACAGGCTGGTTTATCCTGTGTTTTTACTTTTGATGCATCGCTTAAACATCCAGCATGAGTAAAAATGGCTGTCGGCCAGAGCGAAACCAGGCCAGAACAGTGTAAAAGCAGCACAGTCCCTCCATGTTTCTGTCACACTGGATAAACAGCACTGAGAACGCCACCGGCTCTCTGCAACAATACAGGGCTCCATTGTTTCTACTCTCTGCCCTGTGTACATGATGGCTTACTCACAATGTGTGTCCGTCTAGCAGCGTCACTTTGTCTTACTCAGAGGACAACTAACTGAGCAGAGTGATAAAACAGAAAAATAATGGGAGGGAGACAATAAACATGAAAGAAGAAACACAAAGGTTAGGGGACGATGGGGATAGACGCTATGTTCGGGAAGACAATGACTTGAATGCTCACTCTTCAGCCTGTATGGAGTCGGCTGGAGCCACGTAGTTACTGGGGATGTAACCTTTCTGGCCAGTGTTGATGGAGCGGGCCTCCCACCAGTCGCCTTCGCTGAAGAGAGAAGTAAATTAGAAATCAGAAGCATATAATGCAGACTCAAGAGCATGACTGAAAAATCCACCCACACTAAAATGTAGACTGCCGGCACAAAAGTTAAAAAAGATAAAAGGTACAAGGTTGTATAACGCGTCATCTAACCACGTCAGGAATTTAAGTCATCACACTGGGGGTGGAGTTGAGCCATGTCATCCTTTATGCAAGAGAGACTACCAACATCACAAGGCAAAATGTTGGTAAACTATCAAAGCTAAGTACTTTCATACTTTATCTAACATCATAAATAGCATGACATGAATCCCATATGGATAAAAACCCTTTTCATTGTGGTTTTGTATGTTTTAGAAATTTGGTGGTGAAAGAACAAAAGCTGTGGAAGATGCCTGTCAGCTTTACAAGCCAGTAAGAATTGTATCCACTTTCTCCAATAACCAGCAGCCTTGAAGTTAAAAACTTGTGTAATTCTACCTCCTCACTGCCCACTTCCTCCAGTTGAGCTGATCAAAATGAGCAGCCGGCACTCAGCCCACAAGGTTTATTCACTTTTTAAAGCTGCTTCTGCTAACTGTAAAACAAAACACAGCAAATGTTCTGCTGGTGGCTGCAATAGTGAACAAAAGAGTCTGTATGCACCTAATTATCTGAGGAACTGAACACCCAGTGGATTACTTTTATCAAAGGAAATGTCTGCACAACAACATTAGCAGCAGCGTGTACCCACAGGTCAGAGCTCAGCGGAAACTGTAAAGCAAATAAAACCAATAAACACGACCTGGCTAGGGTACACAGTTCACTTTCACTTTCAAATCTTCATCGGACAGCATCTGGTAACTTTAGCGAACAAGTAACTTCGCAAAAAAGTACAATATTCTCTTCTGAAATATTGTAGAGTAGGTGTAGAAGAAAATGGAAAAAGCCCAGAAAAAGTCCATTTAAAATTACACTAGTTGAAGTCACCATGAATGTCAAGGACTTGAAAATTCATTGGAAAAACATATTGCTAAATACCTATGCATGCCTGGAAGAGCTTAAAAACAAATTACCGACTTTAAACTATTCCCAAAAATGTTGTTTTCAAAGTTTCAAGCTCTCAAAAACACAAGGTCAGCACTATTTTTATTTTATTTTTTTTAACTTTTTTAACTTTTCAAAACGCGAAAGAAAATACAAATCTACATTTATAGTAACCAAGCACGTGGCCACAGTCCCTCGTATGTGTACAGCAGATGTGAAAGCTTAAATTCAGAAAGGAGGAACTGAGAGGATGAGAATCTGTCTAGTGGCCTTTTGAAAACATTCACAAATCTGTCCTCTTCACCTCTACTCAGATAGCAGATGGCATTTTTATCACTGAAAAAACTATCTGAACATACAGTAGTACGATGCGGCGGTGCAAGTGATGAATGAGAACAGAATTTGTGGAGCTCGGCCTGTTTTCACACCTTCACACGAGGGGAAAAGAGGAGACTGTGGCAGCAGGTAGTAAAGAATGAAGAGAAAAAACAGCTGAATGTCATTTCACTCAACAGCACAATGATAAGCACGTGTAGTTGTGTAAATTTAGACACTTCACAAGTATTTTATAATGTGGATCAGGTTAAACCTTAAGGCATCAGTCTACTGATAATAAGTAGGTTATCGAAACCTCCGAACCTCCAAATCCGCTGTTACAAAATTTCACAATTTATCAGCTGCTCCTTTTAGAAACATAACCAAATTTAGGTTTAAAATTGCGGTATTTCATCAAAACCTTTACTCTACATTTCTCATTTTAAAATGTGCCAAAAATAAACAGGTACAACTAAGCAGACTCTGTAAAATACAATAAACGATGCACCCCTCGGCACATGTCCAGCTGTTAGTGACTCAGCTGCAGTCATGTCGGCTGAACTGGGCTAAACTGTACGCTGTGTTTACACAGAACACATCACAAGCACGGACGCGAATTAAAACATCTATAGAATGTAGTGTAGCATTTTTTTCAGTACTGGCAACATCTGTGGACACAAAACGTTGTACATGTTGATTCAATGTTTTGCCATTTTTTTGCAAAACTAATAATTAAAGAAATTCCACTTTCGCTTTCTCTGTTGTATTATTTATGGCAACTTTGTCAGACTGAACAGAAGACATATTTGAGATGTTTCTACCACGGTTGTGCTGTTTCCATAAAAGTTCAGGACTTCACATCGCAGTGAAAAATGAGTTTACAGTGAGGAAAAATGTCCCGGTGAGTAAAAAACCCGTAGAAAGTGCTTTGGGTTTAGAGGGTTAGATCATATTAAGACATACATGTATCGCATTTTGTGGATTGTTGGAGTTTTACTAAATGAGGTGTATGTTTAACACTGCAACCCAAATCTGAATCCCTAAACCAGAGGAATGATCTGTGGCAGGATGAAAGCGATGGCAACCAAACAGATGGTCCATTAGAGGAATCCATTAACCCAGACAGATCTCAGCCTTAATATCAGACCTGAATACAATGAGGGATTACACACACACACACACACACACACAAAATCATGTGCACACATATCCTCACAGCAGTGTGCCAATGTAAACAGCAAATGTACTCACGTGTTGTTGATAATCTGAAAGCGATCCCCTTTCTTGAATGACAGATCATCTGATGTCCTCGCTTCATAGTCGTACAGCGCTACAAAAAACGTTACGCCTCCTACAAGCAAGAGACACTGAGCATTAGGCGTACATCTACTGCAGACAGTTGGTTTCAGAAAGCTGGCTGATTCCTTAAATGAAGCTGTTATGTGGAAATGTTGTACAACAAAAGAAACAGCAGCAAAGCATTCAATCTTCAAATGAAGACAACAAAATGACTATTTTGAAAATAGTATTTTGAATAAATTTTTTTTGATATTTTTAATTTTTTTGTACTTTTTATGGTCTCATCCCGTCTTAATTAAAAGATAAACAACATTGCTAATATCACATAACTACTGTTTGTTAAAAATATACATTTTCTTTTGAAATAGCCCATGTCGTGGGCCTCAGAGCCTTTTCTAAAAATACAACCAGCTCTCTCAACTTTTGATTTATTTCAAAGAACTCATCAGGGAGACAGAAAATCCCTCCACAGTTCCCCAACCCAGTGCTATCACCTGAAATCAAACCGATGTAATTTAACCTTTTATACCTAATGAAAGGAATTGACAGGTGACCGAGAGCAGAGAGACAACAGGACTCTATGTTTATCTTGTGAAGAAAATGAAAGGCCAGGACTAGAGCTACAGCACGCCTCCAGGATAGACTCCCTCCCTCCCTCAGAGAGTGAGAAAGAGGTTGAGGGATGAGTGTGTACCAGTGTGTGCTTAGGGAGGAAACATCATTCTTTGTTATTTATACATACTGCATAATATACCTATCTAGTTCATGATGATCCTCATGTCACCAAAAGGCATTTTCATTACCGACACATCCTTAATCATAAAGTCATCTGAAGTCAAACTATTGTCGGAAATGAAAACTTTCAATGTGCACGACTAAAGCCACTGAATTCACTTCATGTAATTAGTTTTTTCTTTGCCTCAGGAAAGGCCATGCCTGCTGCGTTGCTTCCCATAATATAGACCTATTTTGAGTTTCTGTTCATCCTTGATGTTTTGACCGACTCGTTTCAAATGTCTAATTTGCATAACATCTGCTGCTCATTACATCCTCTGCATAACAAACGTTCCTCCGAGTTTGTTCTAAAGCTGTACACTGTTTTACACATAATGTCAAGAGAACTAAAAGGTAGAACATGGCAGAGGAAAATGTTTCAGAAATGTTAGGTTGTATTTGAGTTTGTAAAAGAGTTAAATACATTTATAGCTTTCATTATTGGTTCGATTAACCCCCAGCAGGTTTTGGGGGGTTTTTGTTCTTCATAGGTGTGGGCTCATTTTTTATTTATTTTTTTTCCACTGCAACATTAAGTCTTGTAAATTTATAAAAAACAACACAACCATGGCTACAACTACTACTACAATTTTACTACTTACATTTATAATGTGTTTAATAACTGCACTGTGTAAACATCGCCTGCAGCTCAGCCAGAAAGTCCCTTAATTTTGGTCAAGTGACTGTTGGTCACAGCTGAGTCACTGATGGCTTCACAGTTGTTTCATAAAGCAGGGATTTTTGTTTTTAACATAATCTGGTTTCTCCACATGGATTATTTTTGACAAAAGTAGAATAAAGTGACTTCGATTAAATATGTTGGTTGAGGTTGAGATTGGTTCATTTCCTTGAAGTCACAAAAAATAAATTCAAGATTTCTTAGAGAACTGAAAATCTGATGAGTCCTCCTTGTTGTTCTTTTCAACGATTTCTGGCTCTGATGAATGGTGTCATTTTGGTGTTTTTGGGTTTGGAGTTTCAGTGGGTGAAATCCATACTGACCTGTGATGACACTGGGGAAGGGGCTGCTCACAGCCACTGAGGTGAAGGAGGTGGAGGCTCCACCAAAGGGCGTCATGGTCGAAGACGCCCCACCAAAGGGCGTGAGGCCCGCAGCATGACTGTTGTAGCTGTTGTTGTGCGTCTTCATAGGAGGTGAATGACCCATCAGGGTGGGGTCGGGCCCGTAGTGACCGTGGTGGGCACTGACCGGCGTGGCATTGCAGTTGTCGGGTCGGTACTTCGACGCCGGGCCCTTATCCTCTTTACTCCTGACACAACCCATCGTCAAGCCTGCAGGGAAGAAGAGGAAGCTTTGAGGATCAAATTACAGGATGAGGTTGCATTTGCACTGATTGAGCCTTGTGTAATCTCTATTGTCAGAGTGGGGAAACAATGAGGTGCTCGCTGTGAAAGCAACAGACACATGACACCGAGTTATCAATGGGCAGAAAAACTGGATTTGATTTTGCACTGAAAACTATTAAAACAACAATACGGTTTGTCGTGAGGCTGAACGTCACAACTGGAGAGAAACAAATATACTGTTCAGACTAGCCTGCAGCATTTTGGAGAGTTTTAGCATAACAGTACTATCCAAAGACTGCAAGCCAACCAGTGACCTCAGATGACTTCACACATCCCAACAAAAGTCTGTCAAGCTAGTACAGCTCGAAACTACTGCAGCCCTCGGCTAACCCTCCCCAGTGATCACACTATACTGACACTGATTTGAAAGGAGAAAAAAGCCCTTTGGCATGAGGAGTTGAAGCTCTTCCTGAACTTACTGATACATGAAACCCTGTTTGTGTGCATGAGTGTGTGTAGGTGTGTGTGCTTCCTGCACTTTAAGGGCCAAGAGTAAATTACTTTACATAAATAGACAAGAAAAAGTCCGTTTGAGCTCATGTGAGTTTTAATTCACAGGATCCACATGGGGCACTCTGTCATCAGGCCAAGTCCACAGATGTCTGCATGCTGCCCAAAATTTAAGACCGCACGGTCTGTCCACACAAGCGTGCTAACTTCACATGCACCACAGGAGAAAACTGGACATTTGTTTCATGCACCATATGTATGTCGTGATAACATGCAACATGTCTGCCCTGGATGTAGTACGTATGAGTGCATGCCAGCTTGCTATCCAGGTGCAGTCTGCCTTGCTAACATCCAGTATGAGACAACTGCATTCAGTTTAGGCGTATGAGTTTGTGTGTGTTGTCATGAGCTGACAGCTTCCTCTACAGAGCCTGCTCTGTTTACTCATTTTCTCTTACCTTTGGCCTCTCCAATTATTTGTGCGTGTTCTGTTGGTGTGTTTGTGTCTACCTCAGTAAAACAAGCTGCCACTGCACAACTGATGAACGCTCCACTCCATGACTACTCCACGTCCAGTGACTCATACCCTGGCATTTGTAAAATGTTAGTTTCAAGTGTGTGTCAGTGACAGGTCACAATGGTATTTGTAACAGAAAAACAGAGGTGTGTGCTGTTCAGGTGGAATCCAGGAGAGGACATCTTAAACTGCTCCAGTGACCTACAGTGTCAAAGCTCAAAATAAAATAAAAACTCTCAAAGTGTATAAAAAGGTTATCAGCTATAGCTTCACAGTAACTACTAATGCATCTAAACATATTTTTCTTAGTGGGGTTACTCTTTATTTTATGTAGAAGAAATGTCTTGATATTTTGTACATCGGTTTTATTTGTGTGGATTATATTCAAGTCTTTTTGCATCTTTTATCCGTACCGTCATGTTTGATTTTAATCACATGGGTGATCAGAGCTTGAGCTGTAGGGGTGGTTAATTTATCAATTAATTGGTTGTCAGCAAAACAATTGACAAGTATTTAGATAATGCAATCATTATTTTTCTTTTTTTTAAAATGCAAAACTTAAAAACTTGCTATTTTAGCTTCTTTGCTATAAATATTTTCAGCTTTTCTCTGTTGTAATGAATACTGAACTATATGATATGCTTTGAAGTTTAACTAGGAGATTTCAAATGTATTGACTGTGACATTCACTGGACTTCACAAATAACTACTACCATCAAGGCTGGAAACTTCTGTTGGTCAAATAACACAGTTCACTCATTACTGTATATTTATAGACATCTTAATAACACAGAGTGGTACATCTTAGTAAGGAAAACATGCGATTTTCCCAAAATTCAGCCAAAATGTTTCACAGAACTTAATCCCAAAGAACAAATAAGTAAACTCTGAACAAAGTCTGAGATGGTGCAGCAACACATTTCCTGAATTCTGTGTGAAATGACACCGACTGATCCAGTCGTTACTTTTCTGTTTCAACATGTTTCATTCCTCTTTTTTAATGTTGTATTGTGATCTTGCATCTTTCTTGTGAAGACAGCATCAGATTCCAGGTAACATTTAATCTCTTACTGTGACTTAAGTGGAATAAAGTTATTTATACTTGAGCTCTAGCAGCGACGCATGCCGGCTCGGAGAGCCACCGAGATGACAAGGAGAGACAGAGGATCTTGCTGCTACAAGCTTCTGACGCAGTGGGGAGTTTTTATTCTTATTTTTAAAAAGATGCTGATACTTAACAAAAAATGTATTAGTCATCTACTGTAAAGTAACAAAAATGCAACCAAGTGATGACACAAAACTGCTCACCCTGACTGCTGTTCTCTACAAATGAGTGGATGTAAACACAGCGATTGCACGTTGTTCCTTGTGCGTAGCTCACCGTCACTCTGTATCAGAAAGCAAAGACTGTAAAAACAGTGACTGTGAGGAATGTTAAGGACAACACAGCCTGATGACCAACAACACATGTCCTGCACTGGTGAGATGACATCTACTGTAAATCAAAACTGTTCTGCTCACTATGACAGGAGTCTGCTGACCCGTGAGCCAACGAGGAATCCAGTTAAAGGTCATCAGCACCAACAAACACCTCAGACATCAGGCCAAACACACAATATGTTTAATTTGTTCTGTCCAACTGAGCAAGATTACCTCCCTGTGTGATAAAAATGCAAAAATTAATTTAGTCTTTATACAAAGTATAGCCTTGGCTTGTGAATGGCTCCAACTAAACCTAATAAGGCCAGCAATCAATATATGGATTTATGTATATGAGACGGATGGTTTATTGACTTTCTCACAATGAACAAACAGCATGGATTGAAAGCCAAGGCTGAAACAGCAGAAACAATCAGCAGGATGAACGATGGAAAGATGGAGATTATTGTAAATGACAGAGAAATGTAAAGAAAAACAAAGGAGGGAGCACAGTACAGTAATGGTTAAATGATAGTGAACAGTCATCTCAGTTCAGATGCTGACATGTTTTTTTCTCTGTTTGGTTGCTCTCATAGTCCTCCCCGTCGGTATTTTGGCATTTAACTCACATTTTGACCAATTTAAAAGCTATTTTTGCTGAATGTGCCACAAGCAATATTTTGAGTTTTTTTCAAAAAGAGTGTACTTAAAAGAGACCCGTTAGATTCAAACGATCAGTCCAAACCATGCACATTGGTCAGCTAATTAGACAAATTACGGCCTTTTCTGAGTCCAGACATCCTCCACAGCACGACACAACCACTAACAGCAGGTGACAACAGCATGCGAGCTGTGTGGGCATGGCAGCACTACTTGTCCTGCCAGTTCAATAAAGTTGGTCAGTATGCAATGAAACATGTCGGCAGTTTTGAAAAACTGAAGCCGCTGTGGTTGCTGATAATATGTCGTCAGTATAAAATTCTATTTCTACAGATTGATGACCCGTCTTGAGTTCTATCCTTATCTACAGGGTGCAATACTGACGTAAAACAATAGGTCAGTGTTCGTCAATGAAGCATGAAACACAAGTCCAACAATTCCTTACCAAGCTGGCTTATTTCATATTAAATGGAGCAAATCTGAAAACAAGTCCCGACCTGATCCCCTCAGAATCAGCAACATCCATTTCCAGATAATTCACTAGAAAAAAAAAACACTACTCTATTTGGGTAAACATTCAGGTGTCATATCACCATGAGGGACAGACAGTTGGTCAGAACAAGTCCGAGCATCAAAAAGGACTCATTTACACCAACACCATAAACAAGCACTGAAATGACAACAGAGTTTTCCTTCAAAGTAACATACCAAAGTTTTTTAGGCTTTTACAAACAAAAAATACATTTAACACCATCTCAAGTAGGAAGCAGCTTGATAATCTGTTGATTAATCAGTTAGTCCATCAATAAAAAGACGCAAAATCACATCTTTTAAGGAGCTAATTAACAGAAGTTCCTAACAAAATGCATCAAACAATTCTCAGTTACAGCTGCTCAACTGCAACAAATGGTTTGTTTTGTCTTATGTGACAACAAACTCATTATTTGGGGGATTATGTACATCCACACATTTTACAGACGCAGCGACCAAGTGAAAATATAAACTGTCTGATTGATTCACCATAAAATAACTGTTAGTTGCAGCCTTGCTTCAGTAATTTGAACTACCTGCTGTTTCTTTCATTACACTCTATGTAGGCAAAACATAAAAAAACAAACATGAATAAACCTCTGAAACCCATATAATAATAGAAGCCACTGACATCAGAGCAGAAACCAGCACGACCACCATGTCTGACCTCACCCCCCAACATGTGTTCAAAACTCTTGCCCAACCTTAATACTAACGCTACAACAAACCAACAGCTGACTGCAAAGAAGCCAGAGACAGCAGCCTGAAGAGGACACTGATGGTTCATTCCTCTGTTCTGTCTCAGAAGTTCATATGTCTATGAAAGGTACAAAGACTCTCTCTACTGACGCTGATCTGACTGAGAATTCTAATAAATGTAGGTGAAATCACTGCTTTAGGTTGAAATTATCAGTTAAAAACAGCTGGAAGGATGAAGATCAAAGCACTTTCACTCAGTTTGGATTAAAACATTTAGTCAGTATATTTACTTGTTGTTCAGGAGACTCTTGATTTTTCCCAACAGTAAGTTATCAACTCCCTGCTCTTTAATGATTGGCAGCCTTTGCTATTTATACCAGCTCCCAACTCCTAAAAAGGCCATAAACAGATCACAAGCTTGAGCGAACCCACATGATCTGATGTGTCAAACTGGTTCAACGGCCACAGGTTTCACTTTGCGTCCCCAGAAGTGGCCTGGAGCAAAATCTAACGTTAATGTGGAGGCATCATGTCAAAAAGATCCAGCAGCTCATTCTGTAAGGACGTCATTAGGACATAAGGAAAGTGTTAAAGGATTAGGAATGACACTTATCTTCTGTCCATCCCAATAGTCATCTTTATTACCTAT